AATATAATATACAAGTTTCCCTTTTTAAATGGAATTACTGAAATAAATCTACTTTTTCATGATATTCTAATTTTATGACCAGCACCTGTACTGTGACTGATAAAATTTGCTTTAAAAAAGGCTGAAATTGAGTTAATAAAACTAAAAAACAAAACCTTAGCTGGAAGCTAAAAGACCAAAATGTTAATAGCTGAAGTAGCCAAAAATATCAAAAGCTTAAATAAAAGTATCTAAATGGTAGCTAAGGGTAGCAAAAGTTGCTAAATGTTAAAAAAAAGGCCAGCTATAAGCTGAAAGTAAAAATAAAAGTGATAAACAACAAAATGCTAAAAGTAGCAAAACACCTAATAAAAAATACAAGTGGCAAAATGGTAGGTAAAAGGTAAAAGTAGCAAAAGGCTAACTGAAAACTAAAATAGCAAAACAGTAGTTGCAAAATGCAAAAGAGAAAACTGTTTAAAGGATTCTTTTATGATCTCAATGTATTTCTATGTAATTCCATTAGGGAAGCATTTGTAAATAAAGTAAAATATTTTTGAACAAAAGTTACAAAAAACTACATTCATGGCACCCATCGCCTGAATGAGCTGAATGTTTTGATATGTGAATAGCTAAAATATCAAATGTACAGTAGTCAGATTGTAAAAACATACTGACAAATCAAAATAAAAACAAACGGGCAAATAATTAACCTGGAGCTGGAAGACGATTATTGTCTCAAGTGAGTTTTTAAAGATGCCAGGCACGTCAGACAGACATATGAAACGAGGCTCCAGAGGACAGCATATACCTCCTCTTTACAAAATGGTGCAGCCTGCCACGTGTGCACTTGTTTTACTCAGGGTTGCATCATGTAGGTTCAGTAAAGTGCTGCACATCAGAACATATAGACAAGTCAAGTCGTTTTCTAAGAATGAACCCTCACCACTTGCACATTTAAGACATTTAATTTCCCATGGTTTTCCTAACACCGTGTTTACGCTGCAGATGTAGTCGATTCATTAATGAGTCGACGGCGGATTTGTTATCATCAAACTCAGACTGTTGACTTTCACATGTCAAACACACACGAGGACAGAAACAACCAGAGAGGGGGGGGATGAGCAAAGATTCAACAATGTGTCCTAATCCACACAGTGAATACAGTGTGTGTGTGTGTGTGTGTGTGTGTGTGTGTGTGTGTGTG